TTCAGCAATTTTATGCAAGACTGTGTTGCTTGTTTTAGCCGTTGGGTATACTGATGTAAATTGATATTTATACCAAGGAAAGTGAACTAGAATAGATGTTCTTTGATCTGTCTCCTTGTCTAAGCTCAGCTTGCATAAGTCCATGTCTACTTACCTCATAATATACATGTACATACCTGTTTGGAAAGTAGATTTTGAAGGTGATACATGCTCATACATATGATACATGGATGTTGTAATTCACATACACAGTGATCTCCCCAGCATTAAAGCAAGTGGGAGCAGCTCCCACTCGAGATTTCGGAAATAGGCTTGCACCCACCTGAAAATCCATTTGCACCCACTTGAAAATGAGAAAAATTATGAAAATTGGGCATATTTTGACCAATTTTGGTCTGAATTATGAAAATGAGAATTTTGCACCCACTTGAGAAAATATCCTGTGGAGATCACTGAACATGTACTTACACAGTGAAACTCACATCTTCAATTGCTAAAGGCCTACCTGTATATTTTACCCTTATTTTTCAAATCTAATTGCAATCTGATTGAATAAAGACAGTGAAACCCATAAGATCCTGATTTATACATCAATGAAATGTTGTTCAAGTATCGAGGCTCACTACTCAAAATACTTTCACGTAGCATGGTGTAGTGAAGAGGGTTATAGTTCAAATATATGTATATGCACAGAGGTGTGTTCGGAGTTAGAGGATGGATAAAGGTTAAGATTAGTAGAACGCTTTTAAATAATCTAACTCCACTTTTTATGTCCCCATCACATAGTGTTGGGCCATATTGTCGGCCTAGGCGCGTCCGTCCGTCCGTCTGTCTGTCCGTCTGTCTGTCCGTCTGTCTGTCCGTCTGTCTGTCCGTCTGTCCGTCCGTACGTCCGGCAGTTTTCTCCAAAACCGTTACAGATATCACCTTCAAATTTTCAGGGATAAATTATGAGTGCATAAAGATGTGGATGAAAAAAAATTAACTCGATACCTACTTCCTGTCGGCCATTTTGAAGTCAAATGCTAAAATCCTTGTCTGCAAACTTTAAGAAAAACGGCCTCACAGTTGCTTTTCAAACTATAACATCTTGTTCAGATCACTTCATTCTAGATCTGATTAGGTTTTGGACCTGTTAGTTCAGTCAAGTCAGCCATTTTGAATGTTTTAAGAAAAGTTAGCGCACGATAATACTTTGTATCATATTGAATGGTGTTTTTCAGTTTTCATACTTTAACTATTTAGTAGCTTTATAAATAATTTCATGTGTCCTTTGTTGTAAAAGCCTATTTTATTGTTAACAGTAGTTATATGTGATAATTTTGTAAAAAGAAATCAGCAAAAATCCATAATCACTTTTTTATTGTCGGCCATTTTTGATTTTTCCGTCCTAAAATCTTGTCTGTAAAGTCTTGTCTACGCGTTTTCAGGTGAACCGTTTGGTAAATCAATTTCAAATTTTCAGGGATGATTCTTAGTATGAAAATCTAGATCTGATTAGTTTTTGGGCATTCTGGGTAAATGTCAAGGCAGCCATTTTGGATTTTCCGTCGTAAAATCTTGTCTGTAAACTCTTGTCTACGCATTTTCAGGTGAACCGTTTGGTAGATCAATTTCAAATTTTCAGGGATGATTCTTAGTATGAATATCTAGATCTGATTAGTTTTTGGGCATTCTGGGTAAATGTCAAGGCAGCCATTTTGGATTTTCCGCCGTAAAATCTTGTCTGTAAAGTCTTGTCTACGCATTTCCAGGTGAACCGTTTGGTAGATCAATTTCAAATTTTCAGGGATGATTCTTAGTATGAAAATCTAGATCTGATTAGTTTTTTGGCATTCTGAATAAATGTCAAGGCAGCCATTTTGGATTTTCCGTCTTAAAATCGTGCCCGTAAAGACTTGTCTACATGTTTTTAGGTGAACCGTTTGGTTGATCAATTTCAAATTTTCAGGGATGATTTTTAGTATGAAAATCTAGTTCTGATTAGTTTTTTGGCATTCTGGGTAAATGTCAAGGCAGCCATTTTGGATTTTCTGTCCTTAAATCTTGTCTGTAAAGTCTTGTTTACATGTTTTCTGGTTAACTGTGTGCAGTGTGGCAAATAAGAGGTCGCCAAACGCCAAAAACAGGGAGTGAAAAAAATTTGGCGATAGAAGTTGCGATCTATCTCGACAATTTCGGCGATGGATGTTAGAACTTCACAGTTTTTATCCCCGACATTCTTGAAAAATGAAGTTTCATAGTTGATCCTATTCCCATTCACAAAGCTTTTTATTCTACCTAAAACATGATCAGAATAGAAGAACATAAAGCCACCTACTTTAGAGAAGAACAATTTGAAGTAAAATAGCCAGATAATCATCAGTATTTAGAAAAAAAACACTGAAAATCATCTAAATTTTGCCGTGAGCAGGCAGGAAGTTAGCCTACTCAGAGGTAACAATTTTGGTATTGTATCTGTATTGATCGCACTGCCATCTTTATAACTTATGAAAAACTGTTGAAGTCAAGATTCATTTATACAACCAGATACCTGTCTAGAACTCCTTGCACATTTGATTCCTTTATTTGTTTATCCTCATTAGACTAAAAAAAGTTCATGATGTTCATTTTAAAGAGGTTCAATTCAAAAAATGCTGCATTTTCAAAATATTGATCTCTCCAAACTCTGAAATAAAAGCTTCTTTGATGATACATACTCTAGCAGTATAGCCTAATAACACAATTTTCTTTATCTATATTGTTAGTACATACAACTCTAGTATAGACATTTGATCAGCATGCTCTGTCTAATTTACCCTCAAAAAATTTGAGTAAGATTTTTCCAACGAACCTACCTGCCTAGTGCCTACCCCAAATCTGAAATTTCATTGATCAGGAAACAGACATGTGTGGCCTTTCCACTTATTTTAAGCAGTTTAATTTACCATTCGCAATTCATGCACAGTTTAAGATGAGGGCAAAATTTATGCTGACTAGACAAAATTATGGCCAGACGAAAAATATTTTGGCGAGAGTGTTTCAAATGTCTCTGGACAAATTTGGCTATAGTGAAAAAATCCTTATTTGCCAGACTGGTGTGACGGATCAATTTCAAATTTTCAGGGGTGGTTCTTAGTATGAAAATGTAGAACTGACCAATTCTTTGGCATTCTGGGTAAATTTTAAGGTGGCCATTTGGATTTTCCGTCCTCAAATTGTGTCGGTAAAATCTTGTCTACTCATTTTTAGGATAACCATTTGACGGGATCACCAATAGGTGGGGACATTTTGTACACATTTGTGTTCTTGTTATGTATTTGGCAGTTAGAGCATTAAACCTGTGTATTGTTTGCCATCTACATATGCATCAGGCCATGTATCCTCCAATAAAACATTCCTATCCAATCAAGGGCAAATGTTGTTTAGATCAAAATTTAATTATTGAAATCACATTTTGATTTCTGTTTTATTATACTGCATATTAGAATCAAGCTGAGATGCCTTTGGCTCAATAGGTTAGATGATATAAAAAGATCTATAAATAAAAATAATTCATTCAAGTTAAATTTTTCATTCATAAAGCGTATGCAATTGACATATTTAGGAAATTATATGTTGTAGACTAGACATTTTTAGTACAGTAAAACTTGTCTTATCTGAATACCATTTAGACCAACCTAAAGTGTTCGGATTGGCAGGTGTTCACATTTCAAATTGTTTTAACATAAATGTATATCAGAGATCACGGTAGACGTTCGCCATTCGCCAATTGCGTATTTTCGAAAGAGGTGGCGAAAAATATGTAAAGGTATTTCGCAGTTATGGCGAATTAGAGGTGTCACGGTTTCCCGATATTGGACCGAATTTCGGTCCAGATGCTTCGGTTCGGGACATGGGACAGAAAGGGTTAATATCGGTACATAGATTCCTTCACTAAAATGCATAAAACGTGTATAAATAGCGAGGAACACCTCCGATTTCGTTCTGAAATATTTTCACTTACCTCGTACCTAGATTACACTTCTTTGCATTGAAAAGTGTTATTAACGGACCCGCGATTTCAGGTAGATGGTAATGCTTGTTCGTAAATTTCTTCATCGTCGTTCGCAAATCTAGTGCATTATCAGTATGCCGGATGTAGGAAAGAAATTGAAAAATCGAACCGGCATCTAAGTCGAAAAAGTCGGCAGTTTGGAAGTATTTTGGGACTCCGATATCACAAGGTAAACGAATTGGTAATATTACACCGTGCAGACTATGTGAAATGCCGATCACATTCGCGGCAGATGCTTTACATTCAATTTTAATGGACGTTTTTTTATTCCTGAATATGATTTTGAAAAGTGAAACTGTCATCATCAGACATTTCATCATTTTAAATGTTCTGTCCCGTCCCGTCCCGAAAGTAACGTGTTGAGACCATTTGTACCGTTCCGTACCGTAACGAAATTTTCTTGGACCGTGACACCTCTATTGCGAATTCCCTTTTTTACGGTTTTTCAAAATGGCTAATTCATATTTTGGTTGGCTAAAAATATTTTGGAAGATTTAGCCACAATGGCTAACAAGTTTTTTCAACTATCGTGATCTCTGTGTATATTTGTCAGATTAAAAAATGAGACTGAAAAAGTGTTCGCATTGAGAGGTGTTTAGATTATAGAGGTGTTTGGATACAAAGGTTTTCTGTATATATAAAATGGTATCAAGCTAACTTATTGGATACAATGTTAAAAGATTGTTCACAGGTCATTGGCATTTGCTCAAATTCCGAATTATATGAATTTTAAAGTTAGGTGCATACATTCCTTTTGGTGGTATACAAACAGCAATACAGTCATGTACAGCCATTTTCATATAAATCACGATTTATGTTTTTTCTGAAAGACGATCCATACACTTAAAGATGAAGGTCATTTATAGAAGTTTGTTGATTGAAATCAATACTAAATGCATAGGATTTTAAAAATGTTGAAAACTTCATATGTTATCATGCCACTAATATATTTTGTATATTTCAGGTTGAGTCAGTGATGGGGGAAACAGAACTTAACATTATCAAGGCTGTGATCTGTGGAATATAGCCCAATAGGGAGTAGTGCAGTATAATCATAATATAGATACAGAATGGAATATCACTGTGTAATATTTTAAATATCACACCAATACACTTGGATATTGATAACCATCAAGAAAATTCAATTTGTAGGATGAAGTTACATGAATTAGATCATAAAATCACCAAAATTTAGCATCCCAGTTAAACATACCACGGATTATTAGGATTAGGCTGTTATCATGTTATAGCCAGGTTTTGTATAATGTTACCTTACACTTGTGAATATAGACAAGTTATCTGATCCTGTGCCAAGTTAGGCTACTATAGTGTAATACCTGGATGTACTGAGTCTATACATGCTGCATACACAGTGAGCCTTATCATTTAATTAGACCTACAATTTGGAGTCCCTCTAAGCAATGTAAAGCTCATAGTAGAGTGTTCTACAATATGTATGGAGTCGTGGAAAATCGGCAAGCTTTGATAGCTGATAGTAGGAAACGTTCAGGAAGTAATGCCGGCGATTTAGATGACGAAAAAAATCAGGCACTAAATTCTTTAAGACAGAACTATGAGAACTCCGATGATGAGGGGCTCAATATGTTACACCCTCAAGAGGCTTATTCCGTGAATATACGTGATCTGAAAAGTCGTTTTCAAACTGGTGGCAGTGGTGGTGGAGATACCAGGTACCTGTCCAATCAGCCTACAGGTAGAGCCACTAAGCCTTTACAACCAGTGCAGAATACACGCACAGATATCAATACCAATATGAATGTCAACTCGAGGAATTCACCGGAGACCAAACGTAAACGAGTTCCAGATAATGAACGTGGTAGGCAAGCTAAAAGGGATAACAATACTGTTAATAATTCTGATGACTTTAAGGAAACTTCTCACGTTCAAAGGTTTAATCGTACACGTGCATTATTTCACATGATGGAACAGGAGAATAAATCTAAACCTGTTAAGAACTATACAATTAGCTCAGGTAGATCAGCCTCCCATTCTCCATCCCCGGCTACAACCCCAGTCAGGTCCCCCACACCCCCTGTTACCCCACCCCCAAGGGCTGTCTCCCCATCCCCTAAGGAGAAGTCACGCTCGCGATCAGCATCTGACGAAACAGACCCCCTTATTACAAACAATCTAGGTCGCACATCTTCAACTGGTGCTATAAACGAGGACATATCTAGCTACAAACCAAAGGCATTTGCAGACCCAACTAGTTACTTATCAGGAGGTTATCGTAGTAAATCTGAATGGGACTTGCCTAAACAACAATCAGAAAACGAATTAGAAAACGACGTAGTCATGTTGCCAATGAAAAACCGTCGTGCATTATTTGAGCAAAAAGCTGTAGGGAATTATTCCACTAATAAAACACCTGCAAAAACATTTACAAAACCACCAAATAGGTTTATTAAAGATGCAAAAGAAGAGGAACAAACACGTCACAAGGCCGCTGCGGAGCCAGAAAGTACACGTCCACGATCTGGCTCTGATACACGGCCTCGTTATGGCTCGGACCCTGAAAGATTCCGTCGACGTACAGATTCGACAAATTCCTCAGGGCCAGAATCCCCCCGCCCAGATATAAAACCTGTCATGTCAGATGTTATATTCAAGCCAAAAACTGAAACAGAGACTAAAACTAAAAAAGTTGAGAAAACTTTTCAGAAACCTGTAGAAAACAATGCAAGGCCGTTGTTAAGGCGACGGAAGGAAAAACATGAAGAAGAAGAACGTCAGGAAAATGAACGAAGGAAAAGCCGGGAAGAGATTGCTGAAAATGAACGGCGGAAAAGTCGAGAAGAATTTGCTGAAAATGAACGACGGAAAAGCAGGGAAGAAAGTGCTGAGCAAGCAGCAATCACAAATGGTCATGTGACCACAAAAGAGCCAGCATTGGCATCTCGAGAGAAGCGCCTCAGTAAGGAAGACATCCAAAGCTCAATTAACAAAGCGGATGACTACTGGAAAAGCAACTATGGTGAAGATCCAGAAGATATTGACATAGTGGCTCTACTGGCCAAGCGTCGAGCTGAGCGTCAAACTAGTGCAGTAAGTCAGTCGACAACTGAATCAGTGAGCTCAGATGATGAAGGAGGACTTGGATCCTATAGTTTCAATGATGAACTAACCCCAGAAACTCCAGTCAAATCTACCAGGCCAACAAGACTGGGCAGCCTGGGAGATAGCAAACCAGATACAATAGACTCAGGGCTTGGGTCATATAGGAACAGTTCTAGTAGTGCTGACATGCTAAACCAAGAGACAGATGATCCTTTATCACCTATGCTTTCTCCAACTGTGGAAAGCAAGGCGAGCATATCATTAAAGATGTCCAAGTCAGAGCCTGAGCCTCCAACTAGTCCCACAATTAGACAGACATTCAAGGTAAGACAAACATGCCATCTTCTGAAGGTGTTTTAGTGCTTACACACATTTTTTTATTCGGCTATTATAGATATATATGGCTAAAATAAAGTCCTTGTGATCCCCACATATTGTCCAGTATCTTGTATTTATGTATGCTAGATTTCATAGGTCAAGGACTCAAATGTTCTTATGATGTGTGATATATCATTATCAATACAGTCTGTATATAATATTATGGCCAATTTAATTAATAAGCCTTGTGTGAAACCTGAAATTACCTTTAGTTTAGGTGTGGCATAGATTGGTATATTTCACACCCACGTGAGGCTTATCAGGGCAGAAATTAGAATCCATGTACCTGATCTGTGTCATTTCAAACTTGACAAGCTTATGTTCTACATGTATCCCCCTTCCTTTCAAATATGACAAGGCTTCATGTTTTCCAGATACCTAGCCCAGAGCCTGCAGAGACAGGGGAGTTGCCTAGCGTTGGTTTAAGCCCAGTTGTAGAACAAATCACCCCTAGTACACCAGAGGACCCACCTTCCTATAACAGCTTTCGAACAAGGTAACATTGAATGGCAGAACATTTATATTAGGGGTTCATTGGCAGAAGGCACATTTATATTAGGGGTTCATTGGCAGAAGGCACATTTATATTAGGGGTTCATTGGCAGAAGGCACATTTATATAAGGAGTTCATTGGCAGAAGGCATATTTATATTAGGGGTTCATTACCTGAAGGCACATTTATATTAAGGGTTCATTGGGAGAAGGCACATTTATATTAGGGGTTCATTACCAGAAGGCACATTTATATTAGGGGTTCATTGGCAGAAGGCACATTTATATTAGGGGTTCATTGGCAGAAGGTACATTTATTTTAGGGGTTCATTGGCAGAATGCACATATATATTAGGGGTTCATTGGGAGAAGGCACATTTATATTAGGGGTTCATTGGGAGAAGGCACATTTATATTAGGGGTTCATTGGCAGAAGGCACATTTATATTAGGGTTCATTGGCAGAAGGCACATTTATATTAGAGGTTCATTGGCAGAAGGCACATTTATATTAGGGTTTCATTGGCAGAAGGCACATTTATATTAGGGGTTCATTGGCAGAAGGTACATTTATATTAGGGGTTCATTGGCAGAAGGCACATTTATATTAGGGGTTCATTGGCAGAAGGTACATTTTATATTAAGGGTTCATTACCAGAAAGCAGGTTCATCTATTGTCAATTAGTTTCCTCCAATGAAAATTGTTTTTTAATGTTTCCATGGAATTCAGATTTTCTCAAAACCATGTACGTATATAGAAGTGTATTTAACAGGGTTATTTCAACTTATTTGAGTGCTAGAAAACCTGTTTAGGACTGAAATTTGATAAAAGCCTATCTGGAAACATTTAATCTGAAATTTTCAAAGCAAATTGAAAAGCTGAATTTACTGCGATTCAGGTGATTCATGATTTCTCTTTTCATGCCATCTACAGCTGTGATATGCAAGGCTTTAGTTCTTTGAAAACAAATAAGACTTATAAGTGTGCATTTACCATGATTGAATGAGATTTTCAACTGCAGAGTCAAGTTCCTTGAACGATGACATCACAAAGTCATAAACCCAATTACCCAATCTGGGTTCATGTTGAACTTAATTGCAAAACTTAATTCCCAACAATGTTGGCTGATATGGTGTATACCCTGATAAACAGAACCCAGTATAGCAAAGCTGTAGAGGAACCTCTCTTTAAAAGGGAAATTCGTAAACTATTGGTTGATGTCTGACCTTCATTGAAATGTATGGATATTTCTGATCACCTTCAAGAATGATTATAAAAATGTTGAAAGTGTTAATATAACAGAAGCATTCCTGGTCAGTTCTGCCCTTTACATTTGTTCGACATCGCCTCTTAAAAGAGAGCTTCGACTTCTCAAAAATCCAAGTACATATATTTCGTTTTCGTACAAATTAAGTTCAAGATTAGCAATAGCATAAAATGGCACATTCAGAAATATTGTAAATCTGAACAACTGTTATTCTACACCAATAAAAACATTATTCTTGGGGATATATTCAATATAAATGTCATATGCAAATATTTCTTTACCATATCAATAAAGTGTATGGAGTATTAAAGAATTCTTTCATTGCTATTTGAAAAACATGGGTACATGTATTTGAGTACATGTGACGTAGGAACAATGTACGCCAAAATGCCAATGCGTAGTGTTGAAAAGTTGAATAAAAAAGTTTATTAATTTCCCTATATGTTCTTTAGTCATATTTCCTCATTGTTAATAAATTATTCGTGATCTCGAGCACACTAAAGAAAGTGCTGGTAATTTACACTTGGTCTAGATTCCTTCTTTTTTGCCTTGTTTTGGAGCTATTCATTGCGCTATATTGTTGTCATCTTCTGCATCTGGGTAGGTGGGCACTACATAAATCTTGTCATCAAAATTCCAAGAAAACTGCTAACCTGTGCAACTTGAAATATTTACAGACGTAAGAGCAGATTAGTGCCAAAATCTGGTTGGGTTGGGCATGCTTGGTAAATTACTAGGCCATTTTGAATTTTTGTTAAAAAGTGCAATATTTATCACTGTGTGTGCACCCACCAACTATAGAAATTTGCATACATGCAACTTGTGCTTTAAGAGATTTCTTTCTTGACCAAAAATGTTTTCTCACATTACAGTGTGGATAACAAAGTGGATGAACAAGTGGCCAGCTACAGGGAGTACCTTGCACAACAGCACCCTGAAGTTAGAGATTTCCTCAACGAAAAGGATGATGATAGCCCCTTCATCAATCAGCAACTTGAAGATGATTTTGAGGACACAGCAGGTTAGTGCATGTTTTATTACAAACAACTCCAGAATGATGCTTGTTGGTGATGTTTGGGGGGCCTTCTCATATGTTATATATTTCACACTAAATTCTACAAATAATCATTATTGTTATGTGGGGAGTGGTAAAAATTTCACTTCCAAAATGTTTGTTCTGTCTACAAAGATGGGTAGGTTTTTTAACAGTTGGTGAAATGAATTCGATGTAGAATTTAGTGGGTAACTTTTGAGATGACCCCTTGGACTTGATATCTGGCAAACATCAAACATATATCATATAATTTGTTAATTGTGTCATTCACAATATCTTAGCAAAAACATAGCGGATGATATGATTCACGAATTATTACAATGCTATTTTTGGGAAATAGTATCTTGCATCATGTTATTATGGGAGGATGTATGTTTTTCTAAATAGTGAATAATATTGTTGAAATAATATTAGTTCTGTGTTCATTGCAGTTCTACTGACATTTTTACACTAAGATAATATAGGATTGATTGTGATGCCAATTTGCTGTGTAACTTAACTATATAGATTAGAAATGCATTATTTGCATCTGAATGAACTTGTGTTCTGATTCCATTTGTAACTTGCCTGGGTTTATTATCCCCAGAGATTGCAATACTGTTGTGCTCTAGTACTAAGGAAAGTAACTTCCCAAGATCATTTTTTAACAGATCAGTTATGTGCGAATATCAGTATTGCAATCAAATAAAAAAAACGTGTGCTGTTACCAGGCCCTTTGCATTGTGGAGATCATACTTGCTTGAATAATACAAAGAAGAAAAAGATATAAGACTTTAGTAAATCATATTGAGTCTTAAGATCACGAAGCACAAAAACTTCAGCACAGGTTTTGTTTGATTTCTTCCCATATTTTTGCTTTTTGAATATTGATTGCTACATTGTGCATATACAGACTACGGGGCATTTGAAGAGGACCGATTTACGTACAGTCCCGATGAGTATGGGATAGACCAATATGACATGCGATTGATGCCAGGTATAAGCTAGCTCCATCTATTCTAGCACACGTCGTAGACACTTGACCTATTTATAATAACACTTTCGAATGTTCAATATTTCAGTTTCTGTTATGTTAATAATAGGAAATCATATTTTCAAAATCAGAAAATTCCGAGTTATGAAATGTTAATTCTTGTTCAAATTGAAACATTGAACATTGTGCACTGCATGTATTGGTGGTAGAGGTTAAATATACATTTTTATTAGCTTTTTATCGCACTTGAAAAATCTTGTCACCTTGTACTGATGGTCTAGGCATTACTTGCATGCAGGTACCACAAGAAATTTGTTCATCCATTTGATTTGAAATTTTTATAGATGCAAAAGCAGCTTAGTGCCAAGATCTGATTATTGGACATACTGTCATTTACAAAATGGCCATTTTGCTTTTCAAGTGCGATATTTCTCACTGTGTGTCTTGTTTAATATTTTTTATTATTATTTTATGTCGGGGAGGTTGGAAATGATTATTCAAACACACCTGACATTCAGTTTTGTTTCAATTTTAAAAGGGCAGGTAATTTATAAAATGGTCTGTGTTTAGTAACCAATTAACCGCTTTGCTACATGACCCATGCAATTTCCCTAATGCATTTCCACTTTGATTTCTCAATTTAGATATTCCCCATAACCGCCATTGCTTCAACAGTTTATCTTATTCCTTGTGGAATTGTACTATTACTCTTAATGCTGTTCATGCATTGAAAATGTTAGAACTTCAATAACTTCCTAATTTTAATATCAGTAGTATAATGAATAACATAGATGAAATAACAGATTAATATATTTCATGAATCAGTCAAAATATTTAAAATGTTTAAGGAAGGTCATTTTGTTAAGGGACAGATAAAAATATTAAATGCACCTTCCATAAAGTAACAAAGGGGACCTGTCATCTTTCAATATGCATTTACTAAAAATAAGGGAGAATCGGGGTCTTATTCTTCAATTAATACCTTCCACAAGAACATCCTTATTTTGACACGGTCCCTAAATTCATATTTTGTAAGCATGACATTTGAGGTTACTAAATGATAACTAGACATAAAAAATGCTAATATGGAATAATGTATAACATAGGCTGCATGTTAATAGTTTACCTAACAATATATAGATGGCAGTATGGATGTTGATTTGTAAAACAGGTTTTAAGTATGGTAACCATGGTGTTGTATTTATGGATGTATATGGTTGTAGCATCTATTTTACTGTATCCGTTATGCTCTTTTTTAATAAACCACATATGTAACTTAGATACAATATTATATTATGTGATGCAATGTTAGTGTTGATTTAATTCTGTGCTATGTATTTGATAATGTTTCTTTTTGTAGGTGTTCAAGATTACAGCTTATCAACTATATATACAACAACAGCTATATTTCAGGTTTATATTGAAATAACTTGAGATCCATCCGGTCAAAAATCAGGCACCTTATATATCAATAGTTAAATGAAAATGTATCTTAATATGTTCAACAGGAACCTCATGAGTTGGAATATGACATCCTTTTTTGGAAGAAGGTTAATGCTGAAAACCAACACTCATCAGAACTAGGTTAATTGAAAATATGGATGTAGCAATATTTCAAAGCCTGTCAATCAGGCCATGCAAAACATTCCATGGTGCAGATTTTGGGATTGGGATTTACATTTTTGAATGTTTAAATCATTGTTATGCAATATCTGAAATCGAAATTCATCACCATTGATTTTGAGTTTGCTATTTCCGTTACATAAAGTTTCCACATTGTTCTGTTTAATTTAGGACATTCAAAAGGAGCCCACGTCCTATCTATATAATTGCAACACTCTATACTTGTAATGTAGGCGTCAATTTCTGAATAAGACATAATAATCTAGCTAAAACTGATTGCGTGTGAGTGAACTTAGTGAACGACATACTGAGATTTATTACGCCTTTCACGCAAAAGTGAAGTATTGATTCTACAACAACCTACTTGGAACCAATTTTCTTTTACTCTACATCCAGTTTCCTGTTCAGATCACTTACCCAGTAAGAATATGCCATTTTACAAAGAGATGTAACCATCGTTCTTTTGACACAACTTCAAACTTGGCAAATTGATATGAAATTGCAATGTCAGATCAAGATGATAAATTCATACCTCAACTCATGGTTTTATATCTATCATAATTACGAAGTCTATAACAGCTTAAGGCTAAAACAGTTTGTTTCATATGAAAATCAAGTAAGAGTTCTGCAGTATTATATAGGATGAAATCAACTCATTATTAATGCTTTACATGAAGATCTCATATTATTTGTCTATTAAAAATTAATGGGATGTTTAGATCTGTTCATCAGTACTCTTGAATCAAATCTAGAGCCATTCAAATCTCTTGAGAAATCGCAAGCAGTTTTATTTTCACTTTTTATTAATCAATGCCTTTGGGGATTTGAAATCGAGAATTATGACAAATTGTTTGGATGTAACTAACTTGTAGCATTCGTACCTTCAGAAGTAATGTTGTATTTTTTTCAAGATTATAAATTAATTGTAAAGTGCTTTACCCGATTGGCTGATATGAGTTGTCACCTTAATTCTCTTATCTGATTGGTCTCCTTGTAGATGTGTCAAAAGGGTTTTAAATATATCTTATGAGATTTTGACATCGTATATCGCATAATGTGAAGTGGTCTCATACATGCTAAGATATCTGAGAAATACACCCAGATTTCTCTGCCTCCATTAAATACATTTTATTGACCCATTTAGATGCTCTCTCTGGGTCATTAATGTGGTACCTTTTTGTGGATGGTTATTTCACAATTTCTGGAATCCTTCAGACTACATTATCGTTTGAAATTGCTGCAACTTTTGAAGAGGCAGAAGTATGAAATCATTGTCCATCAAGAATCCTACTGCGACTAGGAATTCAATATGTTTGTGTTAGACTCAGCTGGTAGATTTAGATTGCCAATTGATTATTCCAAATTAAAAAAATAGCCTATCATGGTAAAGCTAATGAATCTAAAGCAAGGTTTTTAACATTTGGATAGCAGATTAAAACCATTACATGCACATGGATTATAAACCAGAAAAGATATCGTTAGATCTTTCATGGGTCTCATTTGGAGTTAGTCACATTAGGAAAATGTATAGAGTAAAATAGTGTGTAAATCTGATTGATGATTCACTTGGGAGCAATATGAATTGATATTCCGTTGTTTTAACGAAATGTGTGATATATTTTCACCATTCTTATGCTCATTTGATTAAAACAAATTGCAGTAGTATTCAACAGATCCTAGGATTAGAGGATTTATTTTTCGATCCCCTCTATAACGTTTATGGAATAAACCATCAACAGAAGCTCAATGTGCTAATACTACAGAATTGGAAATCGGGAAAGTGCCTTGGATATCTTTAGATGATATGTACCCTAAACAGGATCGAACATCATTGCCTGGAGATAATACATTAATTGGTGGAGTACACTGCACCGTTGTGAAATAGATTCATTAAGGATTACCTTTTAATTGTGGATTATCATTGTTGGATGATATTGTTTCAATTCACTTCTGATGCAATGGGATTGTGCAGGTAATTGATTTTTAAGGAATAATTTTACATTAAAATGTTTCTACCTTCTAGAATCTAGAACCAAGGGTACGGGTAGCATGTAGTAAAATGATGTTTTGGTAAAAGCAATGTTCTTGTATTAAATGAACTTCTGGGGAAATGATTAAGCAAAAAATTATTCTTGTATACTTGAATTATGTGCAAATACAGTAATTCTTCATATTTAACATATTATTTCATTATTAAAGGGAATGCGAAGTTTCATGTTCTAATTTACACGCTGGCTACTTATAACCATCATCTATCACTTCAGCTCACTCATGGGACATATCGTGTTTGAACTAACATATAATTCAAGTTCAAAGTACCCATATCTGGATCGCTGCGGATGCCGCCATTGTTATGTATCAATGACGTCAT